AAGAGAAAGAATACAGAAAAAAGTGAAGAAATTATGTGATTAATGCGGTATTAATCTAATATGGCCTCTTGAAAATGAATCGTTAGACAATGGGGGTCCTAACTAACAATAGTGAAACAGGAGATGAAAAAAGGTGTCAAACTAAAATCTGGCGTTATTGCTGAATTAAAATGGATACTGAAAGCTGAACACAAAATTTTAATAACACATCTTTGCTTAGCTTAAAAAGATTATACAAGTGAAATGTGATAAGAATGGCAAAATCAAAAATATTAACTTATATGACTGCACGCTTACTCCATCATCAAATGAGCCAATAGAATGAGAAATTTCAAAGGTTGGTTTGCTGACTGCTGAACAACTTAAAGCATTTACAGGAAATGCAGGACCATCGATGACAAACTTGGATTGGTTTGAAGTAAACGTCCCCTCATTAGAAGCGCTAGAATGTTTAAACTCGTTCCATTCGGCAGTCGAGATTTCAGAGGCATCCTGCAATGTCTTTCCTTGCCTCATTGTTGCTCGCCCCATTCTTAATCGTTCTTCAATTATCTGTGTACTGTTTAATCCGTTAAACTCGAGCTGATTGTTACTTGAAATTTTAGAATCATTCTCAGTTGAATTTGCCAGACCAGTAAGCTCACAGGACTCAGTAACAAGGGATGGCCTTATTTCTTTGATCACCGAGGTCCCTAGATTTAAAGATTTTTTTTCACATTTATTAAACTTATCAACTGAGGCAATCTGAGACATACAAGTCTCTTGACCAAATACATCTTTAATAAGGGTGTCCGAACCCACCGGCTTAATTTTAAAAGGAGTGGAAGCACTGCTGATACGTGATTGAATGGGAGGACTAAGGAGGTGAGGCAATGAAGCAACAATGTTGCTGGTAAGCGCTATCAGAGCGTCCACCTTAGAAAAAGTAGCCAGTGGTCCGGCAGCGTTATTTGCCAAAACAGTAGCCATGGAAAGACGAAGAGCATGAAGGCTGTACAAAATATTCATCTGGATCGGGCCACCCGAAAGCTACAGTAAAATGGAATAAAATGAGTGATAAATACTAAGTAAAAGTGAAAGCAAGAAAAAAAAGAAAAAGGTCATTATTAAATGGATGCATCTCTTAAATAACCAAAGTTAACCGTAATGAGTAGATGTTTGAGGTTTTTTGTGGCTAAGCTAGGTTACTTAAAATAAAGGCCTGCCTGTAAATCTTCGTTCTGATATAAAAATAAGCGAATTAGATTGGCCATACATCTTGTTCAAGACCTATTGATTCGAAAAACGAACAAGCACAAATACAAATAAAGTTGTCATTTAAAAAGGCAAAGAGAAGTTTTCCTAGTAAACTGCCCTACTACAATCGTGATATGCCTTAAAGTAAAGCCTTCCCTATGACCAATTTGCATCCGTGGCCGTGCGAGGTTGTGGTACGAAAAACATAGAGCGGAAATAGTTTCAAAATTCAGACTTCCACTCAGTTCATGTATATGATAAAAGTATTTTAACCAAAAAATCTTGCATGCATTACAAGACAGATAGTCAAGCTTTGTATGGTCATATAAAAGGATAGATAATAAAACTTATAATGTGACTCGAGTTTTCATTTCGAATGAAAAGAGGGTCGAAACGAATTCGTGAATTGGCCTCAGCAGAAAAGAGAGGATTGCCATAGACTGTTGGATTGTGCGAAGAAGTCTTCGAGTTACTGTCCTGTCATCACTATGAGCTCATATTGAGCTTTTTTCTGTCATGACAGTCTTCAAGAGAGAATAAATATTTTCTAGAAAAGCTCACCAATAATTTAAACCAAGAAAAAGGGCGACCGGCTGCAAATCTACACAATTCTTATATCTAATTTTTTCGATCTTAATGAGGCATCCCTTGATATAGTTGATTACCTCATGAATAAAAATTTTCTGAGTTTAACTGTCTTGATTAGTTCTCTAAATTTCTGAATCATACGTTTGGATGTTAAGTCATCGTAACCTACAAGACGCCAAGAATATGACATGTATATTACATCTCCTGTATTGGCTATATGTTTAGCAAGTCTAGATATTTTGGATCCATAGATCTTTAAAAGCGGTTCTAATCTTAAAAAATCTTTCCTAGATCAATCGACAGATCTACTCTGAATAGACATTACCAGCTGAGTATAAAACCTTGAAACAACCTAATCTAGAAAGAGGGCTCAAAAATGATCGAAACGAAGGCCCGACTGAAAAGCGTGTTCGTCTTTCCTTTGTTAGTTATTCTGATGCTCCAGTATTGCAGGAGTACAATGACTGGACGGAAAATCAGGAACTGAGTTGGGAAAAAGCTGTTGAAAGGACAAAACTGCAGATACGAATAAGAATGCCTGTGAGAGATGCAGATTTTATGTAGAAATGAAGGCATATGAACCCAACTTTTGGGGCACGTGATTAAAAGATATGCACATTCTATAGTTAGAGAAGGTATACATTTTCGTTAAATTCTATTGGAAACTGGTTTGGACTATATGAGATGCTATTGGAAAGTCTGAATAGTCCGACAAAAATGTGCCGCGAGATTCAAGGAAATCACTACAATAGCATGCTAGAAGGACTTGCACGAATGG